CTTCTGCCAGTTTTATTGCTTGGAGATAAAATTATTATGTATGAGAATGTCCCATTGCCATATAGCAGAAATTAACTTTTTTTTTTCAGTACATTATGTTACTTTATGTAACCATGAACATCTCTGATGTCAATCCCAAACAAACTATAGCTGCCCAGGACCTGAGGAGACCAGCAGCTCTGGGTCCTTGGCTATGTCCTTCCCTTTTCTGCTATCTCCCAAAGCCAGCAGTGAATTAACTCCTCCATATTCCTGCCATTCATTCTTTGCAAGCATAATTACCTTTCCAAAAAGCGTACACTGCATAACACCTCCCAGAGCAGGGGAAGAGCTTCAGACTCCATCAGAAAGTCCTACTGATGGACAAGCCTTGAAGGCTCATTCCAGGAGAAGTGGTTACTGTATGACTCACGTACAAAGCACTAGTTTAGTGCTCCATCCACCTCACTCCTCTCACCAACAAGCAATTGTTTGCCAATCTGAAGTTATGAATCAAACACCTGAACTGACTAAAACTGGCATATGCCCTTTAAATAGGTTAACAGCTGCATGGGTGTAAGTAGCTGTATCTTTCAGAAGCATCTGAGTGCTGAACTGTTCCTCTCCAGTATGCAAATGGAGCAGAAACTGGGGGAAGCAGCCCTATTTCTGTGACAGCCTCTCCTACACCTTTCCACTTCCCCACCTCCTCTCTAGCTCAAGGGATAATTGGAACTTTGGAGGTCACCACCACAAAAACCTCTCAGCTGCTTCACACCAGGTAAAGTCCAGCCCAAAATCAGCTCTGGCTTCAGAGACAAACTGCTCCTCACCTTACTTTGAGTACTGCCTGGAAACAGCTGAGGACTCAAGTCTTTACACTCGTACGCCGTCACTTGCCTGTATAAAAAACCCACAGAGTCTGTTTTGAAATAGGAAAAAAAAAAAAAGAGAAGAGAAGAAAAGAAGGATGTGGTCATGCCATTTAGTAAGAGTACTGGTGGTAGGCTATGTCTGCAAGCAAATGCTCTCATGCTCTGTAGAACAATCTGGATTGAAGCAATGCTGATCTGCTTGCTGGGGTTCAGGTAAAGTAATTCATATTTTAACTCATAACTTCTTTTTTTTTCAATAATTCAACAGCAGTGTTGATTATAAAGCACTGTTTTTTAAGCTAGTTGGATGATTATTTCTTATAAAGATCAAACAGTAAGATCAAACGTGTAGTGTCACTTAGCTTAAAGCAGAAAGATCTCTGGTTTCGTGATGAGCATAAAATATATTCTGTTGCAATCAAAATACTTAGAATAAAATTATAAGAAATTACCCAACTACAGATGAAATATATGGCATATGTGGGATTTATTGCTCTTCATTGCACTAAGCCATCTTTGTGCACACACAAGAGAATCATTTATATCTAATATAAGTTCTAGGAAATAGATATAAACCAAGTCTGCTTCCTAGCAGTAACATTATTTGGTTTGTATTGATCAGGAGGGTAATGATGGTAAATTCTGTCCAAGTCTTTGCTGAAGCAGTGACCTCAATTCTCCTCATTCCTCTTTTGTGGTATGGCTAGATGAAAAATGATTGGTTTGCTGCATTCTGTCATCCGATTATCATTTTCTTACTATTAAAGCTACGCCTACACTTACAGTAAGCCAGCTATTTTATGATGAGGATGTTCTTGCTAATGAAGCTTTTGAGGATAAGAACATCCTTAATCTGTTGTCTCCAATCTGTGCTAACATGTAGACTTGTGTCAATCCCAAGTCAGATCCAAGCCACAAAGAGGAAACCATTCATGTATCCTGCTGTGCTGCAAAACTCTAGCAAATCTAATGTTGTAAAGCCTTTCTGTTCCATTCCTAGGTCAGAACACCTTTACTGCTAGCTCCTGCTATCCATAAACCCAATTAACATTTAACTAGTCCAGAGGAAGCAGAAAATCCTCACTCAGTAGGAGAAACAAAGAACAAATGGTGCAGTGATGACACAAGGTCTGGACCAGCTAAGACACACTCCCTCAGGTAGTGTTAATTACAGGTTCTTATGTTTTCTTCTGGCTTCTAGAATTTGTCAGAAACAATCCTAGAGCTGCAGGTGATTCCTTCAGGAGACCTGTGGAGGACAGAGGAATCTTCTTCAGGAGGTTGGGAAAGAGAGTCAGAAAAGGAGTCGTTGGGCAATGGTAGATCACTAAAGCCTGGCTGCAGTGTTTGGAAACACACTGGAATTGCCCACAGAAGAATCTGTTTGCAAGCACCCAGAAGACAACACAGCAGTAAGTAACAATCTGCACAGATTCATCTGAGAATGACTGGAAGAGATGTAATTTGGCTTTCTTCTCTGACACACTGACAGAACTGGGGGACAGGGTGTAGGAGGGGGAAACCAGCATCAAACACTATCTCTAAAGAAATTCTCATAAGCAAAGGAAACATGATCGATGTGAAACTTCTATACGATTAGTGAGTACCCACTGAGATACTAATCAGTCCTTGCCATACAGAAAAGATGTCTTTGGTACAGTTCAGTATCTTTCAGATTCAGTATCATCAGTATTTTTATGCATGATTTGGACAATGCAGTAAAGATGATGCTTCTAAAATGACTGCAAAGTTATTTGTCAATGGAAGCAAATCTTCAAACAACTTTAAGCAAAAACATTACTCAGTATAAACTGGCTGTAAAAGTTCTCTTAGATTACTCAAGATGTGAAAGTCAAATTTGAGGAGAGGCAAAATGATTAAAAAAATCAGTTTTTTTGAGAATCCACTCCATTTGAGTACCTGAAGTTACCAGGTTAAAGGCTGGGTAACATTTTCTTGAAATTAACCATTTTCAAGAGTAATTCTATATGTAATTTTGCACTAATAAATTCTAAAAAAAAAAAAAAAAGGCATTCAGTGAAATAGAAACCCAGTAAAAGTAGAATCAAAACTCATACTTTTAAGAGCAATTTTCTGGTATATTTATATAGCACACAAGGCACTGGATTAACAGGTGTTGTCACTCCCACAGAATGTGTAATGTCATCCAATTTTTCCCTAGCTAAATGGATGCTCTTGGTCACAGGACACACACACTCACACCACAGCAAACCACTCCTACTCCCTCTTACCTGTCCTGCCCTCAGATGGCAGCAGGGCCTGCCTGCAGTAATCCCTTGCACACATGGCATCAATGCATCTCACCTTTAGTGGCACTATCTGACCCCTCAGGTACCACCAGCACATGGATTTCTGAGCAGTTGCCAGACACTGCTGGCTCAGACAGATTGACTGAACCTCAGATTGACTAACAAACCAAAGTTCTCTTTTTGTTCTCACTTCTGACAGACAAATCCACCGATAATGATCAGGTTTCCTTTTGCTGTTTCCTCACAAAGCTGTGGCTGTCCCTCAGTGAATTTGTGGATCCCACTAGTAGCTGGGTTTTAGCCCTCCTCAGCTTTCTTGCAACCATTCCCTCACCCACTTAGCAGCCCTTGATCTAACACCTGAGTTTTCTAATACTACTTAGTTATTTCTAGTGCACTTTATGAAATGCAAGTGACTTCAATCTTCAGCCTCTCCCTTATCTGAAAAAGCAGACGACTCATCGAAGAATCTAATGGTCTGGCAAGATCTGTCAAAGCCATTATCTTATTTAGTATTTCTCCTTAAAAATCTATATGAAGCCTTGTCTCAGCAATTATAGAATTGCTTTAATCGCACGGGACACGCTTTCCTTCAATGGAGAGACTAGATTGATCCTTTTCCAGATACACTAATAACACACATGCTTCATAAGAATTACTGGGTTCAGCCTTCAGCTTTATGTCTCACCTCTTTCCATGGTTTTTTGAGCTGGAAATAAGCTGTTGCTCCTAACGAGCCTGTTAAGCTCTGAGTGTGTTCTGTGTTCAGATAGAGTTATTCTCATTATCACTCACTGATTCCTGTAAATCATCCCACCTCTGACCTCCAGCACAATATCAGCATCCTTGTGAAAAGCAGAGGTGTAAGAAAACCCAAGGCCAAAACCTCTCCACTTACTCCTAAATTTCTTCTGAGCTACTTGGTTGTCTGAGCTGGGCTGGAAAATCTTACCACTAGTTTCTTCTTCAGCATTAGGATTTTTTGTGATTTTGTTTTAAAGAGTGTACCAAAAATTACTTTTAAGGTGTAGATTGTTAAAGCAATTGTATATTTTCAGTGATATAACAGTGATAACACTTATTCTACAAAAAAAATATACTTTTTGAAAGAACTGTATTATTAAGATGTCATGCCTTCCATTTGCTAATCTTTGCCAGAGTATCTAAGATAATCAGTTAAAATTTAAAGTACTTGCACACCCAAAATTTAACCAATGCTGAAAGTTAAACAAGCCAGAAAGCTCACTTACTTAATTCACACCTAGATAAAACATCACTCTTCTTAAGCTAACCCTCTAAAAAACTGCATCAGATAAAAGCACTATATGAAATTTAAATATCCATACAATTGTGGGTGTAATAAAAGCACATCAGCAAAAGCTACTGATGCATAGCAAATCACAGACACAAGAGTAAAATGCAAGCTATCAGTCTGAACTGCCTGAATAGGGAACAATAATTTCATGAATTTCTGTGTAGCAAAGGAACCAAACAAGTCTTGTGGAAGTTACAATAGATGTACAAGGGACTAGAGATCTCCAGCACGCTTTGGAGTTTTTGAGAACATATGTTTGAATGGATCAGTCTCTTTAACATCTGAATGGGACTTTTTAAAGGGCATGGTAGTCTGTGGTTGCTGAGTACCTGCCACTGAGAATCTGGTCCCTTCGTAATGGATCAAGCCACTCAAACTGGAAATAAAAAGCTCCGTGGTGAAATGAGGACTCGTTTTCTATAGTAGCCAAAGACTGATCAAGTGGCTCAAAACCAAAAAAGCCCAGAGCTGTGTTTGAAAATAGCTTGCTCTTATATATCAAGGCATTAACTGGGAGCCTTGCACGTTTCTAACTTGTTCTCTCTGTTGTTTAGGGGAGAAATGACCAACAGCAGTGGGGAGTGCAATTTTACAGACATCGACAGACTAGCAAAGACCCTGCAGTTTGGGATCTGCATCCCCACCTTCATTCTTGGGCTGGTTCTCAACGCCCTGGCCCTCTCGGTGTTCTGCTGCTTTTGGAAGAAACAGACCAAAACCTCAGTTTACATGACCAATCTTGCTCTTGCAGATGTCTTGCTGCTCCTGTCGCTCCCACTCAAGCTGTACTACTCTACCACAAAAGCGCCCGGACTCCTGTGCTCATTCATAGAGTCTCTCTATTTTGTCAACACATATGGCAGTATCTTCATCATTGTCTGCATTACTGTTGACAGATATATCTGCATAAGGCACCCATTTGAAGGTCGAGCTAACCAGTCCCCCAAATGGGCTATCTTGGTTTGTTGCTTCATCTGGGCAGTAGCTTGGCTTTGCAGCAGCCCAATGTATGTGTTTCACAAGAAAGATTATTTTAGATGCTTTTACAACATGTCAGAACAGGCCTGGAGCACACCCATCATTGTTTCTGTGGAAGTCTTTGGATTCCTGATCCCGCTCGCAGTGATGATTTTCTGCTCTGCCCAAAATATCTGGATTCTTCTGAGTCACCAAAGTCAAGCTAAAAAGCAAGTGGAAGGCACTGGCTCCTTACGAGTCATTATCATCAACCTCGTGGTGTTTTTGGTGTGCTTCACACCCATCCACCTTGGGATCTGCCTGCAGTGCTTGGTGAGACAGCACGTGATAGTGGACTGCACTCTGAAACAAACCATCAGCCTCTTCATTCAGGTGTCCATGATATTAGCCAACCTGAACTGCTGCCTGGATGCCATCTTTTATTACTTTGCTGCAAAAGAATTCCGGAAGAAAACACACCTGAAGAAGGTTATTGAAATATGTCCTGTCTTTAAGCCTTGTGCCACGTGATGGGACTGCCTGCAGTGGCTCTTCCTCAGCTCTCAGTTGCCTCACAGGACTCCACCAGCATTATCCCTGGCATAGCAGTGGGGTCACATTGGCCATGACATGGAGGGTACAGAAGGGAGAAGGACAATGTTTTTCCAGTGAATGTGAATCTGTTCCATATTTTTCTCCCCTTTAAAGGTGAAAGGAGAAAAATGTTGGAAAAAAAAAGAATGAGCATTAGCAAAGTGATGGAGTGACACCAAAAGAAGCATTAACCTTGACAGTAGCTACTAAATGTGAAAGGCTGGCCAGAGGAAAACTACCCAGATCACTGGAATGCTACTTAAAGTCAACCTTTGTCGTTGCTGCACCAGTTTTCCTTTTGCCTGCATGATCAGAAAGTTGGTGCTAAGGGCTAAACATAGAAATAACTATTCAAAACTTTCTTTCTAACTTACAAGGTATCTCGGAGTTAAAAGGCAGTATCTGGCCAGAAGTCTGGCCCTGCTCTTTGCTTCTGTAAATCCTACAGAAGGTCACTATGGGAGCTCGTTTGCTTTAAAGGGCTTGGTTAATGGTGAAACCTCGCTCCTGTAAGCATTATCCACTGGTCAGGGCTGCTGCACAGGACAGCAGCCTCTGCTCTGCCATGGAGGACCAGCATACAACCCAAAGGAGCTACCAGTGACTCCTTGAGCAACAATCATTTCTGGTTGTCTTTGCTGAGGAATCAGCACGGTTTTCTCCTGCAATATTAAAACTGCTTTTGCACATGAAAAGCAAAACCAACCACCTTCCAATGTGAAGGCATTTGGTGAAAGGCTGTATGTGATTAACTGTATTTCTACATCACTGTGTTTCTATCAAAAGCATAACACGATACATGCATGAACAACTTCTGTCTGTCTTCTCATTCCTTCTTGGAGGAGGGGAATTAGAGAAGCAAGTCCTGTACCACAGAAAACCAGGGTGTGCTTGTCTGATACATCCCTCACTCCCAGCAGGACTGGAGCAGCTCTGTCCACTTCATTCCTTAGCAAAGTCCCTCTGGCCTGTACTGTACATTCCACAAAACATCTCTGGACATGACTCAACCCTTCTTGATCAGCACTTGTCATATGTCACCACCCTTAGGCCATTTGCAAGTTTGGCTCTGACTTTGAACTAAAGATTTCTTTGTTGGTTTTTAAGTCTACCATTTCTTGTACCCTTATCTTGGCATGGTTCATGCTCTTAGCCAGAAACACTTTCAGGTCAAGAAATCCATTCCTGTGCCTTCTAAAAAGAGCTGTAAAAATGGTCTAAGGTTGCTTGTAATCAAGACTTCATTCTGAAGTAGATGTTCACACAAAATTATTCCCATTTTTAATAAAGGGAATTACCTTCTCTCTGGAGCAAATTGAAAAGAAATGGTGCCAGTTTTGAAAACACAGTTTGCTGTATCAATAAATACAAATTGATTTCCATAGAAATGATTGATTGTGCAAGTGGGCAGCTGCACATATTTAGTATTGGGCCTAATCTATGAGCGTTTTAAAACTTGTTAGTACTAAAATTATGACCACAGCTGAGATGTGCAAGGAGCTCAGAGACAAAGAAAGGTTATCATCATCATCATCATCATCTTCACTGGCACCTGCAGAAGGGCAAGAGGAAGAGCTTTCCAAAACAGTAGTTTTTCAAAATATTATTTCCTCCTTCCTCAATGATTCAGAAACTTGCAGCCTTTTCAATATGAGTTAACCTTTCTTTTTTATACCTTTCATGTTACTTTGCATATGACATACATCTGTGAGAAAGAACATGTGTGACTAAATAAACTGTATATATGAAGTGTATTATTTGAAAATACATTTTAATTTCCCAATCTGACAGCAGTGTATGATTATTGTCTACCTATTTCCTCATAAGCTTTTGTCATTCTCTCCTTAAAACAGCTCCAAGACATAGCTGCAGAATTCCCTTCCCAAGAACTACTTCAGGTTTGTAACTATGGCAACTGAGAACAACTGAATAAACAGTAATTAACAGAAAAATAAAAACAGGAAAGATGATCACACTTAGAAGTCTGGGTAATTTAATCTATTTTCTGTGGAAACGCCCTCCATACATTGTTGACAATCCCCCACTTTATCTCCCTACAATCTTTCTTCCAAAATGCTGAGCTCTTACCTTTATTATTAGCTAGCTATCTAAAATTTTACATTATTGTTGATGACTGCAATGATACAGCACTTCCAGGTATAAAGTATAACACCCATCTTTTTATTTGAAGCTTTTCGTGGAGACACAGTGGGTGATGATAGAGCACACCCTCTCTACAAGCCAGCCCCCAGCACTGAAACAGTGGTATGGCTGCCATGGCAGAACCTCACTCCAGAAGCCCTAAAAGCTCCAAGACAGAGGAGAAGCAGCCTTTTGAAATGCAACAAGGAGAAACTTGCAGCTGAGCACTGCACTCGAGGCAATACAACCCTGTGGACCAGCACAGGCTGGGAAAGCAAGGCTGATGGAGATGTCCTCCCAAAAGGGCAACAGGGGGCACCAGGCTTGATATGGCAAAATTGAGAGTGGAGCTAACTAAAAATGGGGTCAGGGCAAAGAAAAAGAAAAATGTTACTAATCTCCTGTACTCAAGCTGGTGAGGTTTCACTGGAATAGGACGTCCAGCTCTGGGCCTCCCAGTTCAAGAGAGATGGGGATAAACCAGAGAGATCTGCAAGATGGTTGAGGACCTTGGGCACAGGTCTGCAAGGAGACCTTGAGGGAGCTGAACTGGTTTCACCCAGCATGCTGGAAGGCAGTGTTGGAGATGATGGAGCCAAGTGCTGCCCAACAACATAACAAGGAGATATGGCCCTTGGTTCAGGTTTAATATTGGCTAAACCTTCTTCAGTAAGGAGGACAATGCAACACTGGAAGGTGATAAGACAGAGAAGCTTTGTGGTATCCTCTCTATGGCTGACCTGATCTAGTGTTGGAGAAGCAAACTGGCTTCAGAGGTCCCTTTCTACTGGTCCATGACTCTCAGCAAATGCAACTTTGTTTATTTTTTTCACTTCTAAGACAAAAAAAAAATAAATTTTAAAAAAATACCAGACCACAACAACAAGCCTCTTAGTGCTGCTGCTATTACAGCACAGGTGCTAACAGCTCTATTGCAAGCACAGTGCAAGACTGAGGAAACACATTGGCTGCCTGAAATATATACATACATGGCAGCAGCAACTGTGACCTACCATACAAGGCTATGATATTTAAAGTCAGGACTAATGAAGCTATAACTTTGTCTTCAAATCATTTATCACTAAGTACTTGGAAAGTATAATTTTCTAATTAGAAAGTTTTTTCTTTCTTTCCAATCAGAAACATTTTTCTCAGACAGACACAGTCTATTCATGTCCTGTAAGGCAGCAAACTCAGAGTGCAGAGTCTGAAAGTTAAATTGGACTATTTTCTGCCCATTTTTTTTTGCCACCAGTGCCACTTCTTTGTTGGCTAAAAGTGATTTTATATATAACTGTATTTGTCTAGATTTTGCCTGCTTAAAAGCAGCTTGTCTAAGCATATTTGAAATTCCTGTTAAAGGAAAAAAAGAGAAAAAAGGAAGAGAGCCCAGCTGTGCTGGTTTTACAGGGCTGTTACAATAGTCAAATCTTTTAGCACAAAAAACCCAGATCTTTCAAGCAAGAAAGTGTCACTTTCAATTCACTGCTTTTCAAAATGAGTTTTAAATTTAAATAATATACTTAAATTCCGTCCTTGACCTGCAGCTAAGATTGCAGTTCTTTCTAAATCAGAATTTTACATACAGGCTCCTTTATGAAATTAGCTGTTAACTCTGGAAAATCTCCAGTTGGATGTATTTTTATAGCAGGATAAAAGCAATGAGAAAACTTGTGCAGCTTGAGAAGGTGCACAACAGTTTTGTTGATGAATAAAACTGAAAAGCATTTGTCATTTTTAAAAAAAAAAACCCAAAAGCCTCCCTGGGTTAATACACAAGCTCCAAATTTCTATTTTCAGACTGCACAACAGAAGAGGTTTCTTCTCTCTTGATGTTATTCTTAATATAGAGAAAAATGGTAGGAACCTGAACGTGAACACCTCAAATACCCAGGTCTCCCTGCAAGGACTCAGTTGTACTGTAAAGTCAAAGAAGCATTTTTTTACTCACAAAGAACCCCTAAAAAAAATGTCACTGTAGCAGGTTATTATATCAAGTAATTTCAATTGTTCAGAACTCTGGAAAGTGAGAAGAGCAATCTCCTCACTGCCTGAAGGCAGCCTCCAGATCACAAAATGAAGCTGAAACGGGTTTGAAGACTGAAACTGATCTTCAGAGAGATATCGACCTAAACCTCGCATCTCTGTGTGCTGCTCTAAGCAATATTTCACTCAAAGGTTATTCTCCAACACCACAACTTAACCTGTCCAAAATGCACGCAAACAAACGGAAGATGAATTTATCATACTCAAAGGTACAGGCTCTGGCCTTTCTCACCAAATGGTTTTGCAGGGGGTTTTCCCCTCACATTCAGAATGTTTTCCACTTTAGACTAATTCCTACGAGTCTTTTCCACTTTAGACTAATTTCCTATGAGTCTTGGGTGCACTCTCCATCCTTCCCACTCAAAGGCAAGGAGAGGAGCTGTGGAGAAGCAGTGTCCTTTGAGGAACCACCAGGTCTAACATGAGAAAACGGCGAGTGGAGAGCCCACCAGTCCTGCAGACAAACCTCCTGGGCTGACTCTGGCAGCTGCCACGAGAGAGAACGGCAGGAGCTCAGACATCACCTTGATGGAGGCAGGAGAACAATGAGACCTTGGCTGCATACCAAAATGGACTTAATTTTCCCCAAGGAGGACTGTCTTTACAAGGAGGGGCAGAAATGTGCTTGCCCTGAGCAAACTGAAAAGAAACCTGCCCATCTTTGTTATTTACACAAGAGCACAACTGGGAAAGCTGGCTTGGATAGATTTCCAGTTAGATGCTTTCAAAGCACGGAGAGAAACAGAGAG